TCTAACTGAATACAAAGTAACATTTAAAAAATGTTTAGGATAATAAGGGGCTGTGGATGTAGCGCAGTGGCACTGTTCCTATCTGGCAAGTGCAAGGTCCTGCATTCAATCCCCTGTACCAGGAAAAAAACAAAAATGGTTAAGATAATAAGAGAAAAAATTCACCAGCAGATGAGGTATGTCAAAGAACTGGATATTGAATTTTAATTCAAAAGGCACATGTACATTTTAGAGATCTGTGAACAGTAACATGATTGACTTGCAAATGGATAAATTGCTCATGTGAAAATTCCAAAAAGCCTCATGCTAAAGAGAGGGAAAACTAAGACTGCAAGAGAAAAATGTATTTGCATTTAAATGAAAAGAGGTTAATGATCACGAGTTTTGTCACCAATCAGCTAAGGATTCTTTTGCTCAATTCAGATAGAAATCACAACTGGCAAAGTGTAATTCCCTTCATGTTACTGGCTCTGGCCTTCGAGTGCCGGTAGCTCTCACCCTGTAATATTACACAATGTTACAGCCCTTGTCAGCTTCTAGCCACCCCATCAGCTCCTCAGCGGCTGAGGCTTATAACTCCGTTGGCAACTCTCTGGCATTCTTCCAGCAGCTCCTGCTGCCTCTCTGGAACTCTCTGCAGGTCACCTGAGATGTCCACACATCTCTGTCAGTCTCTAGAAATCTTCAGGACCAGCAGTGCCTGGTGTTACCAGCTGTATTTAGTGAAGCCACTCACCCAGAGGTAAAAGTCGCAAGTAGGTAATAGGACCACACAAGCGAGGCTTTACAGGGATCTATCCTGCAGCACAGGGGTTTATGAGGAGGAAAGAACCCTCCTAGACTGACCTGAGGAGAGTGAGGGAACACTGCTTATATGGAAAAGCAGCAGGTCATGACTGGGCAGTTTCTTGCATTTCACAGAGCTATTTGAGAATTTATGTAGCAATGACAGAGGGGGGCATGGTTATTTGGAGGTTACAGGATGCAGTCATGAAGGATACACCCATGTTTCAAGCTTGATGGCCAAAGCAAGTATCTCTCAGAGCTGTTTGGGCATCTAGGACAGCCTCAGCTATCATGACAACAACTCACCAAATTTAGGGAGATGCGGCTCTTTAATTGACAGCTCTTTCTGCAAAAATGATAGAGCTGAAATAATGACTGCGCTGCTTTAAACAAAACTCTGAGAGGGCCAGCCATGTAGATTATGGCCCATCGATTTGGGGATTTCAGGGATGTGAGAAATGGGCCCCCATCCCGTTCCAATATTTGCCTCATTAAGCACGGTTTTCTATCAGAATCTGCAGAAGCTTGAAGTGGTGTAGAGGTATCCTGGCTGTCAGCTTAGCAGCAGTTCCTGTCAACTGAGCCAGAGGCCTGAAGAAACAGCCCCAGGTGTGGTGGGAAGAAGTCGTCCAGGACACCCTTGAAGTGAGGGGGAACAACAGGGAAGTGTAAGGACAGCTGCCAGTTGAGTCAGGTCTCCTTCTGGCTATCAGAGAAAAAAAGGAAAGGATCAGACCTGTTTTCTGTTTTGTCATTAATATAGTGAGATATAAATAGATATTAAGCACATGGTAAACATAAGATTATTGTGCTATGGTGAGACAGAGACATAGCCCAAATATTTTATGAAAACTACTAAATAATTAAATGCATTATACAGAATTCAGTCAAGATACAGAGAATGGCAGCCTTAGCCATTATTTTTATCATGGAATAATTTTAATTTATCATATGAGAAAAGGCAGGAAAGTTATTTAATCCACAAAAGATAACTAAATACAAACTATAAGGTCCTTCTTCATGATTTAGAAGGTGTATTTTGTTCCAATCAATTTAGGATAGACGGATATCGTATTGGCTTTGTTTTGTTTTGCTTACAGAATTTAAGGAGTTGCTTCAATTACTTAATTGTAGTTTTAGTGGTAAAGTCCTAATGATATGTATTGGTGCCTGATCAATTTGTGAAAGATGAAATAACTTGGAATGACAACCCCAATATGCATGCAGCAAAAACTTCTCAAAAATACAGTTTAGCTATAGTATTATAACAATCTTGTTTGCTGACCACATAGGTACTCTATATACCTTCATTTTTGATCTTGCCAAAGACGAACTAGGACTATTTAAATACCTAGGACATTAAAATAACTAGGCATTTAAATAACCAGAACACTAAAAGTGCCTTTAAATGTCTTCAATTTAATTCTGCTGGGAAAACAAGTGTAGAATAGTATAGTATTCTTACTACTGAGAAGGCAAGTCAACACTGAAAGAGGTAGGTGTAGCATAATAAACTTATGAATTTTATACATATTATAAACAGAATCCCTAGAATGTAACTCTACACAAGGTAGAGTTCATTTTTCTTTTCAGTTCTAGTTCACTGGACATGACCATGGGTGTGTGTGGGGGTGTTCTTTGAGAATATTGAAGCAGTGTTTGCACTCAGTATGAAAAAATTAATGATTCAATTGCAATAACTTCTATGGAAGCCTACAAGCAATGGTCCTTTCTGAGTTCTCATTTTACTTGACTTACTATAAATAATCATCACAGTTCATCATTTCTTTCTTCGCTTGGGCAGTTTTTGTTTCTTTTTAAACACAGCTAGCCACTGTTCTCAGTCTCATCAGCTGATTCATCTCAATTTAGAGATGGAGTATTCTAAGACTTAATGTTATCACTTCTCTACCTGAACTTGCTCCTTAAAGCAGCATGGTCCAGTAGAGAAGTAATGAAAATTACAAATGCAAGCTACATATATAATTTGAAATTTTCTAGTAATTATGTTAAAAAGTTAAAGGCTGGGGATTTGGCTCACTGGTTCTACCGCCTGCCTCGCAAGCACAAGGGCCCGAGTTCGATCCCCAGTACCAAACAAAAAAAAAGAAAAAAGAAAAAGAAAAAAATTTAAGAGAAGCTGATGAGGTTCATATGTATTTTATTAAGCTCAATATAACACAAATATAGTAATTTCACTAATATAAAAATATTAATATATTTTAAGTTATTTTCTTTTAATACTAAGTGTTTGAAATCCAGTGTGTTGTGCTATGGCATATTGCAACTCAAACTGGCTACATTTCACGTACTCAATAGTCACATCTAGACTTTGTCTATTGAATTGGAAAGCATAACACTAGATCAGCTCATTCTATCCCCTAACTTAAAATACCATCTACGTGCTGAATGCTGACCATTCTTGAAGTTTTATTTCTAAGACCTCTCTTCTGAACTCTAAACTTAGATATATATGATAACATCAGTCCTTGGATGCCTAATTTGTACGTCTAGATTATCACGTCCAGAGATACCAAGGAACTCTTGGTATCCTTCAGATTTGCCCCTTTCCAGTTCCATTACTGGTAACTTCATTATTTCAGTTGCTGAGGCCAAAAGCTCTAGAGTCAATCTGGACTCTTCATTTTGTCTCAAATCTCACAGTAATCTAAACTCTTATGCCACTGTTAGCTCTATGCTTAGAATGTATTCAGAATCTGATGGCTCATCATTGCTTCCACTACCACTGTGGTACAAACTCCCATTATCTCGTCAGGATTATGCAGTAAGATCCAAACAGAGCCCCCATAACCCTTTCTCCTCATAGCAACCTGATTCCCCATCATTTCATTCATCTGCTAAGAATTCTCCAGGGGCTCCTGAGCTCACTCAGAGTAAAAGCCAAAGTTCTTACAGTGACCTTCAGAACTCCAAGTGACTTCACTGCCTACTGTTCTCCTTGGTCACTGCACTGTAACCACCCTTGACTCCTGTTCATCCCTTAAAATATGTCATTCGCTAGCTTGAGTTCCTTTGGATTTGCTATATCCTCTCACTTATCTCCACGGCTCACTCCCTCATCTTTTTCAAGTCCTTGCTGAAATATCATCTTCTCAAGGGATGACTTCAGCGAGTGAATGGCATGGTATGGATATATGAAGAGCTCGACGTGACATGACGTGAACAGGTGTCAGAAGGAAGAGTCAGAAAACTGATGCTGCATGCTTGCTCTTTCAATCGCACTAAACACAACTTTCAACATTTATTGGTCAACAATTACATATAAATATCTTTTAACATAATCCCTCCAGGCAGTATACACTTGATTCTTGATGACTGATTCACCCCCCACCCCCGGATCGAACTCCGAACCTTGCACTTTGAAAGGCAGGCTGTGGTACCACTGAGCTAAATCCCCGGCTCTCTCTGCTTTTAAACCTCATCTTTCATTTAACACCCTTTCTATGATTGAACTCATCGTCTATTTTAGTTCTCATTGTTCAGTTTTTCAGTTCCACCTTGCTGAAAACAAAGGAGAAACGAACAACCTGAGCCATTATAATGTTTAGTTTACCCTAGGAATGGATGAGAGGGTGGTTGAGTAAGGAGAAAAAAGGAGAGCGAGGGAGCAGATGAAGGGAGAAAAAACAACGCTCAATGTATAAACACATCTCAATTTAATCCAACAAGTGTTCATTGGGTGCAAAGCAACATGCTAGTCACCATGTAATGTCAAAATGCGACAAGACTCGTGAGGAATCTCTGCCGTTGAGGAGCTGGGATCCTGAAATATTATTAAAATATCGTGCAGAATGCATAAACTACAAGGAGAAAGAAAACTGACGTTACTCCAGATGTTTTAGTATACCAGGGGCATCCATGAATATTAACAACCCTTCCCAAAATTCCATATCAGGTCGGAGAGAATAGGTAATCGTTCTAGGTCACTAAAGCTAGAAAGTTAAAATGTTCTGGCTTTGTCCTCAGCGCAGCTTCCTAAATTCAGGCTCCTTTCAGAACGTCGTTACTGATGGAAGGTCCGCAGAGCGGTGGGAGGGGAGCAAGTTTTGAGTAGGTAACATTTTCCAGTCAAGACACAAGGAAACAAAGAAAGCGCAAGAGCTATTTGTGCCTGACGTGGGCCTTAAAGGGTGAACTCGAAATTGGGCGGGAACCAATGTGGTGAAGGAGGGGCTCTTAGAGCATGGAAGTGAGGATCCAAAGGTCTTGAATCGAGGAGTTGAAACACTATTGTCGGGTGGGTTTTTTCCTCCCCCTCATCTTTTCCGCTGGAGCTTTTCAAAAAGGGTTCGCCAATTTTACCATTAGACGTCCGTTATTTGTAAATACAAAGGCGGCGTTCCAGCCTGGGTCCTGGACCCGGAGGCTGCCCCGGGGAGCGTGGGCCAGCCCGCTCCCGCCCGCCGGGT